TCTCTCTCTCTCTCTCTCTCTCTCTCTCTCTCCCTGTTTTATGTGTAGCACTGTGTGTTCTGTAACCTCATTGCAACTGGTAAGAATAAATTTCTGTATCTGTCTGTTCTCGTTATCTTAGAAATACGTCATCTACTGCGGATCAGAAACTGAAATGTCCATGTCAATGAGTGGCTATGGTCAATGATACGGTATCTGGCTATGGCCACTAAGCGTTATTTCCGCCTATTTTGAAAACGTTTGTCCATGGAAGCCCGCCACCTGAGTGATCTAAGTTGTGTCGATTTGGGCTTAAAGCAAATAGCATGATTATATTCTTCTTAAAATAAAAAAGGCGGAATCTATCCAAGTCAAATTAGAACTAATTAAGCAAAAATCATGTCGATTGTGATGGTTGCAAAGTGCACTTGTCAAGTGTTGTTTTTTTTTATAGCTTTAATAAGAGTCTTACGGAACTTGCAACACAATAAGGTCATATAAGTGCCGAAGAATAGAGGTGTTACAAAAGAGTAACATACACAAAAAAAGAAGGAAGAGAGTCCAGGACGATAGATGTTTCATATGAAAGAAGGAGCAAACCACACCAGAGCACCCACCAACCACGCACCCCGCATCAAGTGTTTTATGTACAGGTTGATCACAAAAAACACAAAAACAAAACAAAACTGTACAACATTTTTTTCTAAATATCTCGTACACAATTTGCACAAGAATGTTGTAATTTGGTCTTGACATAATTCATTCAAAAGGAATTTGTTTGACATAAAATTCACAAAGAAGAAACTTATTTTCAAAAACGAAAATAGCTTTTATAAAAACCACCTATAAAAATGCAAAATGCACCAATTTAAAAGATCTTGTACGGAAAGTCATAATTATAATAATAAGTAATAATAGATAGCATTTGTATAGCGCATATCCCCGCTCAACAGCAAGCTCTATGTGCTTTACACTATATTATTACCCCAGCAGACCATAGAAAACTCTGAAACATTCTCAGCTTCCCGGGAAGCATACAGTGCAAGCAGCCGATTAAGCGCTCAAACACTAACAAACTGACAAGATCTTTCGCTGTCTATAGCCAGGTACCCATTCCCACCTGGGTGAAGTGAGGAAAATTCGTGTAAAGTGCCTTTCCCAAGGACACAACGTGGGGTCCCTGACGGGATTCGAACCCACGACCTCACGGTTGCGAGTCCGAGCGCCTAACCACTAGGCCACCGAAGGGAAAATTGTGACCACCATATTATGTTGGAAAATGCTTGAGAGCATGAGAGCAGTGCAAGCCAAGCAAGTAAAAACGAGAAACCTCAATATTTTCAGAAAGTAAAATGGAAATGGAAAGTAGACCTTATTTGTGAAAAAGTTGAAATGTTTAGTGGTATTTTTTTTTTTACGAGATAAATAATTAACTTAAATAAGTTTGTGTTTTTGTCAGAGTCAGCAATGTATTTTTTTAATAACAGAAATAATAGTGTTTTAATCAAGTGTCAATAATTCATAAGATTAAGCTTTATCTTTGCTTCCCATATAGCATTATTTTTTCTTCCATCAGCTTTGTATGCACATCAATCAGGAGTGTGTTTGTGGCAGTTATAGTTTTATAAATGTGAGTGGTTGGCAGGTGCTCTGAATTGGTTTGCTCCTTCTTTCCAGTCCCAAACATCTATTGATCTTAGCTCTTCTCCAACACCTCTAATGTTCAGCAGTTATTTAATGTACAGAATAACACGGATAGTTCAAAGTCATTGGGACCGGCCTTGGTAGCTCAAGGAATATCTTACAAAGGTAAAAAAGAGAAGAAAATAACGGGATCGCGAGCACAGTTTGACGGACGGATGCGTGATTCCGAGTCTTCTGTGTTTGACCCATCCGTGCTGTACTGTACTGTATTTATGCACTGTATGCTTCCCGGGAAGCTGAGAATGTTTTGGAGTGTTCTATAGTCTGCTGGGGTAATAATATAGTGTAAAGCGCATAGAGCCTGCTGTTGAGCGGGGATATGCGCTATACAAATGCTACTATATGTGCCATGGATAGTAGGAGGGTTAGGCCTAAGTTAAGGATATAGATCTAGATCTAGATCTAGATCTAGGCCCGACTGGAATTAAACACGAGAAAGTAAACAATTACTGGGGTAGGCTATATGTGCCATGGATAGTAGGAGGGTTAGGCCTAAGTTAAGGATATAGATCTAG